AGTTCTTTGGTTTAAAAAAAAAAAAAAAGAACACTGCTCCTAAATTATGTTCCAAAGCAGACAAAAAGAAGGCAGAACTCCATATTTATTAGATAACACATAGCCTGCTTACTAGTCAGACTGCCAAAAATCACTTGCTTCTCCTCCTGTAGGTTTTAAGCAAACACAAGGGAACTGTGCTCCTATGTGTGACTACTGCTTCTCAGTGGGACTTGAAGAACTAAGGCATTAGAGATACTTCCTCTCTATAAACCCAAATAGAGCACTCTGTTTATTTTTCTCTTGGCATATAGTTGGTAGTCTGTATTTCCAGGCAGTCATTCTACATCTTTTGGCAAGTGCCTTCAAATTTCTCAGTACAATGTTTCATCTAGTCACTGAAGGCGATGCATTGTACCTTGAATTCACATGCCAAGAAAAAGACTCAGACTGAAAAGAAGACCTTCAGTATCATCTTCCTGAAATATATCAGGCACTATACGAGTTAGAAGACCCAGATCCAATTCCCAGGTGTGCAAGTGTCTTGCAGTGTGATCTCTAGTCTGCTCTTTAATCTTTCTGTACCTGTTTTTCCGTCCTGGAAAACTGGGATTGTGTTACTTGTCCCTCCTTGAACTGAGACTCTTACTGCTGGCTGAGAATATTTATGCCTCTATAATTTGTGAAACTGGGGTTTGGAAAAGTCAGAAAATAAAGCATAAATGTTATTTCTCACTTTTGTCAGCCTGCCCTGCAAATCCAAAGCTGAGCCCAACAAAAGTCCCTAAGCAAGTAATCCCTCAGAGAGTAGTTCTGACTTCCCACTCAACAAATCACCCACGTAAGAGGCCAAGCAGGACCTTCAGGTGCTACATGACTACAGAAGCAAGTCACTGTCTATCAGGGTCCATGACAATATTATTACCCTAGACACAATAACCTTAACATTCTATTGTGGCTTTATTTCTAAAGAAGCTACTTCAATACATTCCAAAAGGAATTATTGAAATTCAAATACCGGTTTTATATGAAAACAAATATATATATATACATGTATGACTGAAGCACTGTGCTATACACCAGAAATTGACACAACATTGTAAACTGACTATACTTCAATAAAAAAAAAGTAAAAAAAAATCAGTTTTAAAAAAGGTCAATCTGGAAACCTGAAAAACTATCACACCTTCCATTTGGTCACCCTTGGTCTATGTGACTATTCCAACAAGGAAGTTTACTGCTCTGTCTAGGCTCTCCACAAGGCCTAGTTTCTCCTTTGTTCCAGTAAACACACTCTGTCGTTGATATCATCAAATGATTTACATTAAATTATATCTCTTGGCTGCAGCAAGTTTTAGCCCCCTAAGCAATGCATCATGCGGCCACCACTCAGCTCAATACTCACCTTGAAAGATATCACTATGAATTCACACTAAGATTCACAATATGAAGCCTAAAATACATTTTATATCCTGTTGAAAACGCAGCACACTCCTATGAAAGATGAGTGTCCTACAAGGTAAGAAATACCCTCTAATGATTGGATCCCACAGCTCCTGCCTCATCTAAAGAGATAGTAACTTTGCATATAGATAAGGCTCTGGGCATAGAAAGTAGAAAGAAACCTATGTCCAGCTCCAGGTCTGCTACTTAATGTAAGACCTGTTTCCTCAACTGTGAAGTGATCATACAAGGTAATCGTGAGCATAAAAAATATATATGAGCATTTTTATTTATCAATAGTACTTTACAAATTTATTATTCTGCCTGTGGATTTAATTAAAACTGAAAACGTTCTTTCAAGAAGCTGATTAATTCCAACATTATGAAAGTCATTTGTTCACATGCTTAACAAAAATTTTCTTGGTCAACCTGAAGTCACTGAAAGGCATCATTTCCTTCCACTGGCTAAAAAACAAGCAGGGTAGCACTACCCTACCAGGGGCATGATGAGCAAAAGTAGAAATGAAGAATTGTGTATGCCCACAGTGAATGGGGCAGAAATATTTTATTTCATTATTTGAACTGAAAAGTAAAAATCAAAGGTCAAAGTTTTCCAATGGGGACCAAGAGGAAATGTTATGAATATCCAAGGTATAATCAAAATTAAACACAATCCATATAGCCAGTTCAGAAAGCTCAATAATCTTCAAAGTGTTTTTCATGTATTAATTAATCCTCATGACATTCCAAGGATGAAAGAAATTTAATTCTCATATTTTAGTTATTTATAAGCACAGGAAGAATCTAAATAGATCAAGATGTGCCATTTTAATAAGGCAGCTCAACAAATATTTCATCAAACATTAAGGATCTACCATATCATCAGCAGTGTACAAGGCACAACGTGTCCTACTGATGTGACCCATTTTCAACCAGCAAGTCCTCTAGCAAGCTCAAGTTTATGGTACACAGCTATGAGTAAACATTTCTGAATAATGGATAATAGTAACTGCAGAGCTATACCCAATCCTCACTGCCAGAACCCACTAACTTAAAAATAGATGTAAATTTAGGATGTTTCATTGAGAACACTTTACTGACAAGGACTATGTGTACTATATGAGGAAGAGGGGGAAACAGGGAGCAATGGTGTTTTGTTTTAAATAGGACAGTGAGAGAAGACCTCAATAAGGTGACATCTGAGTAAAGACCTGAACAAAGAGAGGAAACAAGCCATGTGGTTATGTAGGGGTTATGTAGGTTCCACCAGACAGAGGGAACCTCTGAGTTTAAGAGTCCTAAGGTTATGTAGGGGTTATGTAGGTTCCACCAGACAGAGGGAACCTCTGAGTTTAAGAGTCCTAAAGTGGGATCACACCTGTTACATTCTCCGCACATCCACCAGACTTTCCCCATTGACGTCCTGTTGCCAGCTGCACTGTGCCTCACCAGATCTTCCTGACTTCCAGGCTCACCATACTCTCCCAGGCACACAAACCTGAATCACACTGTGTGCACTGCTCTCTTCTTTCCCCAACCAGTGACCAACTTATACTGTAACATGACCCTACCTTCAAAATGTTACATCTTTCTCCTCCCTTCATTCCCACTAACACATTAACCTAGAAGTATAGAAATTATAGAACATTAAGACTGGAACGAACCTTAGAAACTCCATCTTGCTGAAGCCCGTATTAATCAAGTCTTAAGAATCAGGCCAAAGATCTATTTTTACTACATTCTTGGATTTTTTTATTTTGCATGCTCCTCCCATCCTCCTCCAAACCCAATTCATCAGGCAAACTGCTCACAAATGAATGCTTCTTACACACTGCCTTCATCATGTTACTCATCCCCCATTCCACAGTATCTACAATGCCTGCCTGCTGAACAGTCTCCTTTCACTGTCCTACATACACACTATGCCCATTTCACCTTCTAAATCTTCATTCAAGTTCCTTCCTTTGATACAATGCCTTTTCTTCTTTCTTATCCAAAATTCACCTATCCTTCAAGTCCCCTTTCAGACAGCTTCCATGACTGTATCAGCCTTCACTGATTTCTCCCATCTCAGAAATCCTATGGTTTATCATAAAATCTAACATTTGTAGTCTCTCTCCTCCCCATCCACCCCTATCTTGCAAAGCATCATTAATATCTCAGTTCAAACACTCACTAACTTGCTTTGTTTCATGTTTAGCTGGATCACACAGGGACTGCAATTTTGTCTCTCCAGAAGGACCTTGCAGAAAATGCACCTACCACATTTTTAACACTTACAACGTGCCTGATATTGTATCAAGTGCTTTACATATTTAATCTTGTTTAATCATCACAATAATATTGTGTTGTTGCTATTATTCTTCCTGCCTTACAGAAGACACAAAGACACAGGGTTCGGACCTAAGTTGCATATTGTATAAAAGACATGGCTGGGATTTGAGCTAAAAAGTCTATCTCTCAAAGCCTCCACAAAGTAGAGGTTTCGAACAAATAACTGTTGAATTATCCTTATTATCTGATATGTGTTGATGGCAGTGTCACCCCAAATGAACTACTGAGGGGAGAAACCATGCCTGGAGGCTTATGGGGTACAGTGAGAAGGACTGCCCCTCCTTGTTGAGTACCCATCAGGTGCTAGGTTCAGCACCAGGCATTTCACATCAAACATCTCACTTACTCTGTGAAAACTCTTAACTAAATTCTCTTCAACAAACAGTGTTTGTAATTCCTCCATCAGAGATTCACCCAAAACGTCACCCACCCTCAATCCAAGTACAAATGCTTCCAGGTGTGATGTGTACTACACTCCTTCTGGACCTCCCTCGGGTTCAAGAAAGAGGATGAAGCCTTCTGACTCCCATTAGTAGATTAAGAAAACTCAGCTTCAACAAGCATTTACTTGTCCTTTTTCAGGACAGATCACTCTGCTCTTCATCCTAATGGTCATGATCTCACTTATTAAGCACCTCAGCTCTGTGAGGTAGGTGGCAATTTCTCCACTTTCACAGATAAATAACGTCCCCTCAAAAAAACGACATTGTTTAGGTCACGTGGCACATGGCAGGTTAAAAGGAGAATCCAGGTCTCCTGACTATCCACCCTGCTCCAGTCCCTCAGCAGCCACTCGTAGATGGTAACTGACACATCCTGGTGTCGCTGGGAACTCTAAATAGTAAAAACTCTGGAAAAAATTTTCACTCAAAAGGTATTTATTGGACGCCTATATGCCAACCTTGCACGTTCAAATATCATCTCCTCCACTCATTCGCTTTGTGACACGGAGACAGTAGTTTTACCTCCCTAGGTGAATGCACTCATCTGAAAATGTAGATAATAATAGTATTTACACCAAACAGTCATGACGGGAGAAGTACACGAGATGATGAAAGTGAAACACCTGGCACGCTGTCTGGCATATGGTGGGCGCCTCGTAATTATGGGTGCCCTTCACCTACCCGCTCCGCCCCACAAGCCTCGGGTTCACCCACTACGACCTCGCGACAGGGAATCCACTCGGACAGAGGCCCGCACGCGGCCTCGGGTTTCACAGGCCGGGTACAGCCGCACTGTCATACCTGCATGGAGTCAGCGCTGACGATCTCGCCACCGAGCCGCTGGCCTAGCTGTAACGCCAGGGTGGATTTGCCGGTGCCCGTGGCCCCGAGAATCACTACAAGAGGCAGTGTCCGTTGCAGGCCCCGGAGCCCAGGGCCCACAGACACTGCTCGTGCAGCCGCCGCCGCCGCCGCCGCCATCTTAAAGACGTCTGCGCTTGCGCCAGAGCAGCTGTCCCCATGGCAACCGTCAGTGCGCTTGCGCGGACCTCGCGCTCGCTAGGGAGGGTGCAGAGAAAGGAAGGAGACTGGGGACCAAGATGCCCAAGCCCTACTCCTCTCTTAAGTGAAGGATGGCAGTCGTATCCAAAATAGATCTATCCCTATTATTCCTTCTTTCACGGCATAGTTCATTTTCTTCATGATGCTAATTACAGTATGAAGTGACATACTGACCTCTTGTCTATTGTCTGATCTTCACTCCAGACTTAGTTCCATAAAGGCAAGAAACAGATTCTGCCTACGTCATTGCTGTATCTCCAGTGCCTAGCACAGTACCTGATACTCGGATAAACACCCCATAATTGTTAATGGAGAGGAGAATGGCTTGCCTATCTAGTCCTAGAGCCAGTGAGTTAAAAGCTGTGGCGTGCTCCAGTATCAGATCTGCCTGGTTCTCTGGCGAGGGTGGCTGCTGTAATGTTTTCATCCCACAGCTCAAACTCAGACACGATCAGAAGGCAGAACAAAATTTTCTGTCTCTGGCAAAAGGATGCAAGAGATGGGGTGAGAACAGAGGGAAAAAACAAGCAAATAAACAACCCATAACATAAAACAGGAAAAATAAGGCTGAAAAGATAAAGTAGTAGCAACCCTCAGATTAAAGTGGGAGAGGGGAAAATTAGGACCACAGAGGACCAAATTTCAGGAGACTCCACAACCTTTTCTTAAAGGGCTTTGGAATCAAATGAACCTGGGTTCAGATCCCAGCTCTGCCATTTATCAGCTGCTTGACTTCACATAATTAACTTCACCTCTTAGCCTCAGTTTTTTTTATCCTTAAATACCTCTCAGGATTGCCATCAGGAGAGAATGAAGTAATGTCTGAAAAGTGCCTGCTACAATGCCCCCGCACACAATAACCACCATTTGTTGAACGCTTTGTATTATTGTAATAGTAACACCCCATCTGCCTCACTAAAGAGGTAAGAGCAGCAGCCTAAGGGCAGAGAAATTTTCAGTACTGTGTGAAAGTGCCCAAGCACCTATTCTACTAACCCCTTGTTAGCCAATTTAAGAGTTCTAATTGCTTTCACTTTCACCCGGAGTTTACTCTTTGGCTGTGCATAGCTCTCAGGTCATATCATCCTTGGGCCAGAGGAACCACCCCTGGACATGTAGAGCATATGATAGGTCTGCCTAGAAAAACTGCCAATAAATATACTTCTCAATTACTTGGATCACTGTTGGCATAATGGCCACTCCTGCATATCCAACCTAAACCTTGTAGTCACATGTATCGCAGGGTCCCCTATCCCTCCTTTTCTCACTCCAGCCTGCTTTGATCAAAAGCCTTGTTCTCTCCAATTTGTGGTACCCGCCTGGGGCTGGTTTTAAAATCGAGATGTGTGGCCACATATTGGCAGACACTCTCACATGATGGTTGTTAACTGTAGAGCCTTTGCCTGGAGATTTTCCGAGGGTACAGTTGCCATGACAACCATCAGAAAGAAGGCAGGCCGGAGAAACGATGCAAATAAAGCAAAAGGGAGGCTAATTTCATGATGACACTCTTACCATGACGGAGTAGACTCACTCACAGATGGGAACGCAGTGTCCAAATCATGACCAGGTGACTGTTACTTGAGAGAGAGAAAAAAGAGGGGGGTGGAATTAACCACTGAGAGACCAGAAGAGGGAGAGACTGGTTACCAAGGCAACTGGGGAGCAAGGAATGAAAAAATGGGGCTTCACCACAGCAGCAGAAAATTGCTTCTAGCCAAGCAACACGGGACTGTTGCTATAGAAACAAAGAGAACAGGGATCCTGTAGACCATGGGGAGAATTATCACTGAAATACTGAGCAGGAAAGACTCCTAAATCAGAATGGAGCCTGTGCTCCAAAACAAATTAGAAGAAGTGAGAAAAAACATCATACCATTTCCATTCATTGCAATTCAGCCAGCCCCAACAAAGAATGGGAACATTTTTTTTAATACCTTTAGTCCATTTTATTTGTACCTCTGTCTCCCTAATGATCTTCTGAACTCTCAGTTATACTAAGAATAGTTCCTGAAAGATAATCTGTAACTTGAAATCATAATTGGAGAGATTAAGTTGCAGGGAAAATTGGGAAATTGAAGTGTATGATCAAGAGTTAATAAGTGTTTCTAAAAAACAACATAAAACCCTCTAATGGGAAGCTTTGCTGGGTAATAAGAAGACAAAAGACGGCAAAAGGGAGTCAGGAAAGCTATCCACAGTCATGCCCAGATATTAACCCTGACCCCTCATCGCCTTGTAATGAGGCCAGATAGGAAGTAGCTCAACCTATTCTGAATGATTGCTAAAGAGGAAAGGGAGTTTCTCTCTTAAGGTGTATGTGTATATTCTAAAGACGGAAGATGCAGAAGCCTATCTTCAATATACTCCACTGATTACAGATTATTTAAGGTAAAGAAAATTTAGTTAAAAGGCAAAAATGCTGGGATAGGTTCAGTCTGGAAGAGACTATCTAAAATGTAGAAATGAGGGAGACTCAGATTACTTGGAGGGTGATAATTCTTGCCTGCCCTTTGGAAAGTCCAGTCAGCCACCTAATTGTTACCCCTGGTGTGTGTGTGTATGTGTGTGTGCTGTACCCTAGGGGCAGGTACGTAGTCAGCCTGGGCAACCCCTAGGTTACCTCGCCTTCTTAAGGAAACTGAGCGCAGTATGTGAGATGGAATGGATATAGGAACATGGCAGAAAAGGAGAAAGGAACACCAGAAAGGTAGAAGGGAAACCTGGGTGATGATCCATTAGTGTTTATTGTATTATTTCCTGTCTTCACTATACTTTAAATAATTTATTTTAAAAAAATTTTTAGAAAAAGAAATGCAGGGAGAAGGTAAATGTGAAGCCATTAGAGTGGAAGGATCATTTAAAGTGGAACATCCAGAAAGTTGGAACTTTTTGGAATTCTAGGGGATGCTGTGACATTCAGGACAGGAGGCAAAATGGGCCATGGGAGGCTTGAAGCATCTGTTCCCAAGGTAAGAGAAGAAAGTTGGGTCAAAGACAAACGCTAGCTTTTTCTTTTTTTTTATTTTCTATTTTTAATGGAGGTACTGGGGTTCAGCCCAGGACCTCCTGCATGCTAAGCATGCCCTCTAGTACTGAAATATACCCACCCTCCCCCTCAAACACTAGCTTTTTGGGACAACCCAATTTACCTTTGCATCCTGACCCCCATACTAATTAAGCACCCCCAATTTAAAAACTGTTTCCTATAGGGTTATTTCCTGACTTGGTTTCCTAGTGCTGCCATAACAAATTATCACAAACTGGCTGGCTTAAAACAACAGAAATATATTCTCTCATAGTTTGGAGTCCAGAAGCCGCAAATCAAGGTATTGGTAGGGCCACACTCCCATGCTTCCGTCTATGGAAGAGTCCTTCCTTGCCTCTCCTAGCTCCTGGTGGTTGCTAGTAATCCTTGGCATTCCTCGGTTTGTGGCAGCATGACTTTAATCCTGTCTGTCTCACGCGGTGGTCCCCTCTGTGTGTGTCTCTCTGTCTGAATTTCTCTCTCTTTAGAATACCAGTCATTGGATTAGGGCCCACTCTAATCCAGTATGACCTCATCTCAATTTGATTATATCTGCAAAAACTCTATTTCCAAATAAGGTCATGTTCATAGATTCTGGATAGCCATGAATTTAGAAGGGGACAATATACTACCCAGTACAGTGCTCGTGAGTAATCACAACACCTTCCTTTGGTTTGGCAAATTGCTGTTTCCATTTGTGATTGGCCAGTTCAAATTTGGGAGCATCAGAATTGCTCAAAACAAGTGAGAGAAAGAAGAGAGTAGAGCTCACCATGTTGTAGGTTTTTTTTTTTTAACACCCAAATTTGAGTTATAGAGTTTGCTTCAGAGTACAGCAGAATGTTCTCCAAGGGAGTGCACTTGCCCCCTTCTCAGATCTCCAAAAGAGCCTACACTCACTCGAGGACCCCTGGGGGTTGTAGAATCAGTGTGAGGAGATTCAAATGGGGAAACGATGCAAAGCCATCAGAAGTCCTTTTGGGTTCTAATCTCATTGCTCCTTCAAGCCCTCACCTCTGCTTCTCTGGCCCCTTCTCTTTCTCGTGGCTTGGCATGGTGGGCCTTCATCATCTTTGTATCCTGATGAGTCTCAAATGTGTATCTTCATTTCAAACCCTTTTCAAAAGCTTTAATGTCACATTTCTAACTTCCTGTTGGGTGCTTTATTTTGAATGACCCCATCACCTCAATCTCATTGTGTCCCAAACCACAATCAGTTTCTTTTCCTGACTTCCCTATTTCAAAGAATCACAGAGGATGTTTGTTGTTGAAAGGATCCTTTTAGAAATCTAGTGCAACCCTTCTTGTTTTGTAAAAATGAGACCACCAGCCTGCAAATCAGACCAGATTCCTCCCCTTTTCCCAGATTCCCCACAACTTCCCCAGTCCTCTTTTCCCCAAAGCTATTCCCTTAACTTAGAACACCTCCCTCCTCTTCACTTAGCCAAATACTCCTAGGACTTCTCGTTCCAGTTAAAGTCACACTAGCTCCAACGAGAACTTTCTTGTTGACTCTGAAGTGCTCTCTTCCCTTTCTGAGGCTTGCAGCCCTTGCCTGAGACACATATTGCATTATTTTGTGATCATGTTTGCATGCTCGTAAACTTCCATAAGGAACCATCACTTCATACAACACTACTCTTACTATGTGGGAGGCACTATTCTAAGCACTCTACATTATTTCATCTTTGCAACAGTTCTTTGAAGTTGGTATTAATATTATATCCATCTTAGAGAAGAATGAAATTTCTAGGATTCAGGGAGGGTGAGCGATTTGCCCAAACAGCACACAGGTAATAACCCCAAGTCCCTATTCTTAACCATTTTACTATACCATCTCTACCATCTTCTGTGAATATTTTTGTATTTCCACTGGACCTGGCTCCAAACCCTTATTCCAGTGT